TATTTATGTTCTGTCTTTACTATACAGCACCTTCACATGGTACTTTGCATTTCACTTTTTTCTAAAGTCTATGATTTTACTTTCCACGAAACAATGTACACTTGATACTATACAATGTGTAATGTTCCCCCCAGGGCCACTACCCCGTGTCAGTCGACAGAGGGCGCACCCACTACAGAGGTCAGGTCAAAACCATTATTTAAGCAGAGTGTAATAAAACGATTATAACTGTGCAATTACTTTAGGCTTTGCTGTTAAAAATGACAAAGCTATCGATATTAGCACGAATCTACAAGGTCCGTGGTACGAAGCACAGTCGTCTGGTAACACGGTGTTACCGATTGTCTGTGCGTGGATCGTCGGCCTGTGGTATGAGGCAGCTGTGGGCTTGAACAATTTCCTCAATATATTAACATCAGTAAACACATATCAGTTGCAGCCTAATTCAACAGAAGATTATAAACTACTTAAAATTTTCACTTAAACTTACCTAAAAAAATCAATATATACACACACATCTAGAGAGTGCGTCTGTTTTCTCCCATTGCAGAGGTCGATGTACTGGGCCCGCTCAAGGTATTCATAACCTCGTATGCAAATAACTTGCACACAAACACACAAAGCTAGAAAGAGGCCCACATTGTAGCCTGTCAACCCGTTCTTCCCGGAGAAAGCAAATCGCCGTCTTTTTCGAGTCTATCAAAGGCAAGTTTGGTATCGGGCCCTGTCAGTATTTTAGTTGTTCGCATTTGAATGAGAGTCGAAGGTTTGTAGAACATGTTATGAACGAGTACGTATGTACTGTCTATTTTGTAGGGTAAGGTGAAGTCATCATGTTGTGACAGGGTTGTTCCTACTTGGTCCTACTTTTAATAGCCAGTGTTCATCTAAATATTACTTTGACTGTGAACCTTGCCATTAACTTACTCGATGCGTATCAGTGGCTACAATGTTTGAAATCCTTCACCGACTTTAGTTACGACAGTCATTGTGTATTCCATGGGGCAAATTTCGGTTTAGATTTATTCAAAAACGTATATGGGACAGTATATGGTTTTGAAGTTTAGTTTCGTGCAATTTTCATGGAATCGCTTTCAACAAAATCGGTATCACAAGAGCTTAATTGCATGAAATACAATATCATAAGTAAATTGTAACAGTTTAGTTGCCAATTTGTAACACCTGTTGAACATTGTGTTGACCAATCGTCAAGATGTAATATGTATAGCGATTTTAAGGGGTAATTTGTCAACGGATATTTGATGACAGAGAATAAATAATATTATATTTGCTTTGATTACATTGAAAATATCAGTGTAAAAGATATACATGCAACCAACTTCCATTTTTTGGCTTTTGTGCACAGGTTTATTTCATGAAACTGGTGTCAGAATGGCAGTCATTGACTACATGTTAAAGGGCGGGGTCGTTGCGCCACGTATGTGCGACATTTGTGTTGATAAACATTGATTTTCCCACAATCCAATGCGCTCTTCTAATGGAAATAACAAGTATGGGGTTTGCCCTTTGTGCAACTTCCATACCTTCTAATCACCTTATAATACCCCATTAAATCTTTGTACCTTCTCAGTTTGTACTGCTCTGCACAAGTCAAAGTCACCATCTTTGTTTATACCAGACCCATATATCTCGTGCATGCATGGCGTGGCGGCTACTTCCCTTCAATTGCATTAGAACTGCATAAAGGCGGTCACTATGAGCAACTGGTCATTATCTGAAGCATGTCACAAACGCAGGTTTTGGATGTGCATGCATGTACATACTTTGACTCAATTTTCAAACAAATAAAATACAACATTGAATTCCATGATTCCCGCCAAAACATGGAAGAAAATCATGGAAGTTCATTTTCTTACAAAAGTAGACTTGGGATTTTGATAAATTTTTAATTTGCTTTTGGTCAGTGATCATAAGAAATTAAGCCACACATCTTAATCTCATACAATTCATTCAAAGTTTGATAGCTCTTTTGATGGGATGAATTTATGTATTTATATATGTGGTTAACATAAAAAAAAAAAAAAATATTTAAAAAAAAGGTTGGCGTCTGTCGTGCAGCACATATAGAATTTCATCTAAACAATATATTCTTCACACATTGTGTACGTAGCTATGGGACCCATATCAAATACTACATGTCATACATTTGTTCAATCCAGCTTAACTCTATAGATAAGAAATATACATTTGTCATATACTAGTACCACATGGTTTACCAGAACAGCAAAATTTTTACACATTTTCTACCAACAAATGTGTCCTTGAAAAAAATGTTATACTCTTGGAAATTTGGGCCCCAATTTCATTGGTCAGATGCAAGTTATTTAGTGAGTTATTTTTAATCATTTTATTTTGCCATCTTTTGAACAGAGTCACACCACCATGGATGTCTGGTCTGATTACATCTTGCACTGTACCAATGAATATGAACTTGTTGTCAGAGCTTCACACCGCCTTGTCAACATTCTCAGAAAGTTATACAAAACTGACCTGAACAGCTTATCAGACATCGCCCAGCAGCTGGAAACGACTAACAAACTTCCCACGTTTATTGTCACGGAATTGAAAGCAGTTGCAGAAACTACTAGAATAGTTGAAAGTAAAGATTGTGATAACCTTTTGGAATATCAGAAAAAAATGGAATTCATCAACTCTTACATGAAGTCAAGAACAGGACTTGCAGTCATCCAGGAAAAAAAATTACACAGAGTTAGGTCATTATCTGATGAAGAGAATGATATCATTCAAGGTGCTTTACAGAAGAGAATGGAAAACATTGAACCAAATATGCAACCAGTGAAAGTGTATCAAGGTGTCACTGGGCACAATCTGTTTGAATTTATGTTAGGAGCTCTTGTGATGTTAGGAATAATACTTGTTTTCTATGAGCCAAAGTCATTGTTAACTGGACTCTTCTTCTATGTTCTTCTCAAGTTGGTGCTAAAATTTGGGCTTGGCAAAAAGAAGATTTTAGACAAGTAACTACAAACCCTACTCCAAATGCATAAAAAGAAAACTCCAACTTGTGCAGTCTTAAATATACAAATATTCAGAGTTGAAACTTGTTTTTCTGTATTTTTTTATGATTTTTTATTATTAAAAACATACATACATCCTCATACATTCAATATTTTCAAAAAGGTTGTCACATAAGACGCATGTTATACACATGTTGCTCATATTTGATGCCTATAATTGGTTACTATAGGTGAGTGGTCTGAAAATGAACTTTTTATTATTCAAATTGTAGGAAAAGGTGTAACAATTAGAATACAAACTACCAGTAATACTTAAACTGATAGCAAAATTGACACATATTAAATTGACCCAAGAAGTTGGTTATGAAATAACACGCATTCTACGCATGCCCCAAAACCCTGTATATGAACCTACGCAAATAATACATACATGTACATCAGTGCCTTTCCATAAGTTGCAGCTTACCATATCTGCATCATACCAATGATAATAGAAAAAACAATTCCAAACAATGTGATTATTTCAAGTTGGGGATATTAAATCAAGTGAAAAATTTGACATGTTTTGGGTTTATCACACTTAGTGGTTGCCTGGAGAGATGTATATTTATTATTATACATCAAGCACCTGAAACAATAAAATACTTTTCTGTAAAAGTTGTATCTACATTCACTCCAAAATGTATATGCACATGTACCAGATTATTGACATACATGGCACAAAACATTTTTCGCTGGCATTTTTGGCCATTATCTCTCAATAAATTATTACTAAAAGTAGAGGAAAGATGTATAATATATGGTTACCGTTATCAATCATGAAAATCCTACAAAGTATACTCAAGCATATGTGGTCACATCAACATCTGCTACGTGTTGGTTGATGCAGTCACCATACTGCCAGAGTGCATATTTAGTGGTATACTTGTGATAACGTCAGGATAGTGCAAAACCGCACTACCCTTGCAATAACCTGATAATGTTCAAGAATGTATTACTAATAAAATTGCAGTATGTTCTCTGAAAGTATCAATTTATTACTTACTGTAAGGTGTATATACTCAACTGCCTTATCTTTGTAATGTTTGACTTGAGTGTATTGACTGTTACTGTATGGAGAGCCATAAACATATTTGTACATGTACATTGTTATATGGTAGAAAATTAGTAATGGCAGATGTAATTACCTCAAAATATGGAGTAATGACAATTCAAAAAAAGAGGGGATCCTGATACAATTTGGCACGTTGTTGACAAACTTACCCAGTGTTGAAAACTAAACACAAACTTTGAAAGATGTGATAAAATCATGATTGAAGGCTCCCGAAAATGTTTGCAATTCATTCAAAATGCCCTCCCCATGTCCTGTACATCCAAAACCCCAAAAATGGTTAAATCATGATCGTTTTGTTAGTGTATTTCATTGTATTCATATACTGATCAATGAAGTTGATACACAGACAGCAGACTATACAATATATATATATCTAATTCTGTTTATTGGTCTGATTCAATATAACTGACATTTTGTCATAAAAATCAATAAATCCCACCACATGTCAATTTTTCTGAGATGACATTACACAATACTCATTTGTTCTGAATGCACATTATTTTTTGGGTAAAATCAATTCTGTATTACTTCACTGTTGTCAATTAATGACAATTTGACAGCCATTACGTCATTTGCAAAGAATAGTCATGGAGTGATTTTATGCATGAGCAGTCACTGATTATTAACAATCCGATGTTTTCACTGAACACTACATATCTGAGATTAATTCATGGAGATGTTCGATTTTGACAAACCAATAAAAAAAAAACTACAGTGACATGCAGATTCATAATTTGTGGCATTGAAAAAATTTAGCTTTGTTCAGGCAATAAATTCCCCGATTCACAACAAATAATCAAGAAGCCACGGCGAAGTAAGCCTAATGCAGTTGGAATTGAAATTGTTATTGTCTGGCCACATTTTCATATTTAGTCTGTTTTACGTGATGAACAATGTTTTATTTTTTATGTCAGTTCTATTTTCAGTAAGATCTTTTAATCATGACAAAAATTTTATCATCTGCAGCTCGGTGTTCTAATCTTGACATTGAAAATACCAAAACTAATGCAGAAGTCAGTATGTATCGTTGCATTTTGAAGTGATTTTTTCTTTATCTTTCTTTTTTTCACATGAGCATCCTTCCTTACATGGTGAAGAGTCTCTTTCTTTGGACTTTCCTGATAATAAAATATCTGAGGAATCTGCACTACTTTCTTTAAGAGTTATAATTTTTGCTTTTCTGTTCCTGGATGGGCGATTTGATTCATTATTCACAGTCCAGGGCCCAAGAGAGTCATTTGCATAAAAGTCCATTGGGTACCTGCTCTGCCACTCCACATTCCCTAATGCAACAGATGCCTGAAATAAAACAAGTCATTCAGAATGTCACAAACCCCTCTATTTTTGATATATGACAAATGAAATGTCAGGAACTTATATGCCACATTTTGATCAAGTGCATTGATCAAGTTTGAACCAAACTCATCAAAGCATGTCTAAGAAATGACTTCAGATATGCAAAGCCAGAAAAAAAAATAATCGCCAGTCAGCCATTTTAAATCAAAATAATAAAAAAATACAGACACTCCACATATGAAACCAATAACTAAGTAAATAAAAAAATATATAATTTTAACATAGTACTCGCCTCATATGCTGTTAAAAGTGGTTTACTAAATGCATTGCCCCAATCAATTGATAAACGAGGACATGCTATCTGAATCCACCTGCAAGCAATTAAAATCACTTAGTCACACAAACCTCTCTTTATTATTTATCTTTTTTTTTTTATTTACAGCTACTTATTCAGACAGTCAGTTAGCAACTTAACAACTGGCAGTGAATGCTATAACTGTAGAAACATGTGTATTCCTCCCTCATTTAACTATCCTATTTAGTAAGCAGCATAAATTGTCATCATTCAATTCAAAAATTGAAAAATATCGCTGTCTTCGTGAGAAATGTTATCATTTGTTTATTTTTAGAAGGTTCGAACTCACAGTTAGTTTATTTCCAGGAAAAACAAAAGAATCCTTACCAACTTGACAGAGGGCAGCTCACTAGAGTGGACCCTTGCACAGTCTAAAATTATTCCTCTTTTTTCCCAACTTCCAAGTGGGTATTAGATTGAATTGTATATGGCATTGACCAACTATCACTATCATACAAAAATATTACTTACGCATCAATGTCCTGAAACAGTTTAAGTTTTTCTGGGAAAATTTCTGATAGTAGCACCACAATATACTCCAGTCCTGCTTCTTTCAACTTCATTTGTAAATGCTAGGATGAAATGAAGATGATTATTACAGTATTGAGTGATAAGGCAAGCAACAAAAATCAATAGTTTCTGAACTTGTAATGATCCTGAACAAATTTTGCTGTTCTTTTTTTTTCGCAATATTTAAAGTGGGAGGGTCGTCACCTGCACAGGCGCGGGAATTGAGTCCCCAGCGACGATAACAACAGACACTAAAAACGCAAAGGCTCATGCGTAGAAGCTTGTTTGTAAACAATGACGCGCTATGGCCATCTGACACATGCACAGGTGACAACTCCCTCTGCTTTAAAAAAAGAATGATTGGCACCTTTCAAACATACAAGTGTGATGTTTGAACCAAATTCAGTTGGCTTACCATATTCCATATTACCATAGACACTTCCTATGGAAAGTTCACTTATAATCAAGCATACTATGACCAACCATGACTTGCTTTTTAAACATCAAATGTATCCATGTAAAATCGTAACACTATAAAACAGACTGAGCAATTTCAACATGAGAACGGCCGACAACGAGACAAAATATTGAGGAAATCACATCATTTTTGTACTCTACTAATCTGCATTTTGTCTCTTAGCTGTATGCAATCTCAACCCAGTAAAACAGTTCCCCCACTACTTTACAGAATGTTCATAATATAAAAGTGACATGTGTACATACCTCCAATATTTTAGGAGATCCTTGGCGACCTAGAGTTCCAAGAATGAAACCAAACTTCTTAGCTCTACTAGCTTCTGCTATTGCACACTGCCTAACTGAGTGCATTTTTTCTGTTTCATAATATTCTCTTGAAAATGTTTTATTATATGGATCATACCTACAGGAATAATAAACAGGCAATAAGAGTGTTGTCAGCCTTTCTACAAAAACATTACGTGTAAAAAGTTGTATACCGGTAATGTCTTAGAACAAATAAGATGAGAAGAGGTCCATTAACTGACCAAAGACTAATTTCATGCATTACATTGTATAGGTAGAAGTGAATGTTTAGACTGTCCCAAAATCATGTTTCTAGCAAACAACAGTGGCTTGTTACTAGATGCAAACAGACTACGATATCTATTTTTTTATTTGACATCAGACGTAATGACAATGTAGAATGTGACAGAGATGGGATCATATCACTGAATGCAATGATACTTTGGTTAGTGCTATGAATCACACATTATGTTTATTCTATGCTGGCATTTTGGGTTGTTATCCCCCATTAAATTGAGACTACAAGTAAGAAATAGGGTGGAATAAATTTGTGTAAAGTATCTACTCAAGCAGTGCAAGATTCTAATATCCTTTGCAACATTTCTGACATTACTACCTGCATTCATACTTTGTGTTATTTACAGAATACCCTCATACAGTACAACTTGAATACAGGAGTTGATGTAAAGTCTTCACAAGTAAACTTTTACCTGTATGCTGCCACCTCTGAATTGGCTATCATTATAGATTCCAGATGGAAACGTCCATCTCCAAGGTAACTGAAATAAATATTCATAAGTAGGAATACAGCTTACATTTTGCATCATTTTTGGTGACTTATTGAGTTATTGCAATAAAGCTATCACAGAAATTTGGTCTGAACATCTTGATGGTCTTTGATTTACATTTGAGTACCGGTACTTCATCAATACAAAATCAGAGACACTATTTGCCAGCTCAATATATTTCAAAAGTACCAAAGCGAAAATGTCAATAATACAAGATGAGTGAACAACCAGGAATGGCTCACCTCATGTAAAAACTTTTTCCATAATTCACATTTTCCATAATTTAATCTCCACAATTTAATTCACCTATATTATATTACAGTTTTCAAAAAAAGTACACAATGCTAAAGTTGCATGTATAGTAAATTCTAATTATGAACTAAATGCATATATAGGTGTCCTGTCTTTTGTATGCTATAGATGTTCCTGGCATGTTTGCAAATATTTATGTATTTTTCTAAAATATCTTCATCAAATTTAGACGAGATAGATATAACTTCCTATCAGCTAAAGATCTTGAGCAAAAATATATTTTTCTCAAAAGATCAAAGGGTTAAATAATAAAAGTTTTTCCTGAATCACATCATTTCTGTACTTGTTTATTTCATGCAAATATTGTTGGCTTTATTGATTACCATGAATTTCATCAAAACACAAATTTGTTTAACATGAAATGTTTATGAATTCCAAATTACGATTGAATTGAAAACAACTTGACAAATCCTAAAGCATTAAAGGATGTCTGACATTGAAATGGCCAATGACTGAAGAAAACCTGCAAAGATACATGGGTAATGGGCGTTGAAAAATGGCTTCTATCTATAACCATTAAAAGCATCTTTTTTAGAATTTAACGAAGCACGAAGATCTTCCCGGGTAAATGTTTTATAAACTTTATAAACTTACATTACAGCATCAACATCCTGGAGTTTTGGAGATGTACAACCCAGGATTTCTCCAGGTGACAAAGGTTTACTTTGTGGTACCAGAATTTTATAACTACCACTCAGCTCTTGATGTGATGCCTGAAAAGTTGAAACAACCAAATTGACAAATGACAGCTGAAGACAATTACACACTGTAAATTTCATGAGATAGATAGATGGATACCATAAGCTCATCAAACTGAGAAATGGTATTTGGCATTTCAAAACGTGTAAGTATGCCATAATTTATTACTGTTTAATTAACCATAGTTTTAATTCACCTTATGAAGTTTGAATTGTATGAACTGTAAGTTTATTTTTCGTGAGGCAACAAAAGTTTACTTTGGCATTCAGAGTATGAGAACAGAATGGTTTACGTTTTTTGTCCTATTTGGAGGGATTGTGGGCAATTGACCTTTGACCTACCTGGAGAGCTGTCACAAACTGTATTGTACTGACGAGAGCCAGTGATGACCCAGGTGTAAAATTATGTTTTATTGTTTCTATAAAGTGCATTGTGTCAATCTTGATATCCACAAAGACATACAACATTGTAATTCCTTCTGTTCTATCGATAGGTACTGAAATAAAAAAAAATCCACATTTTGTATCTCATGTTATGTGGGTATATCAAAGATATGCACATTAATATCATAATTTATACAAAGTGGTAATTCGTAATCATGAAATGACTTATTATATGATCACCAGCTAGCATTTTCTATATATTTATAAACCTTAGCAGCCTTCACCAATTCATTAAACTTAGAAGCAGTATTATAAATCAACGGTAATGCAATGTTGTATACCAGTATTATATGTTTTAGTGATTTTAAAGTGAAGTATAGAAGAAAGGGATTTTCATTATATTTTATTTTCTATGGATTTAATCCTCTATTAAAGTACAGTAGAATACTTTATTTTCGCTTGGAATTTATTTTCGCTATAAGGATGATTCCGTGAAAATAAAATCCAGCGAATATACTTTTTTCCCTATATTTCACATTCAACTCGTCAAAAATCAGTGAAAATAAATTCCATACAAAACAACCAAAATGCCTTTTCAGCGAAAATTAATTCCAGCTAAAATAAAGTATTTCACAGTACAGTATTATCTATACTCTAGTTGGCTAAAAGAAATACACTCTGACCTCAATAATGATGCAGTGCATGATTTCCTAGTCATATTGCACAATTTCTTATGTATGAATCCAGATTCTATGTTCAATTTAAGACATAGATTGGCTGTAGTGGTTATTTAACTAAGGAGAAGCTAGTGACTGACTTAATTGAGTGAATTACCTAGACAGCTATGTCCATAATGTACCATCAAATCAGCTCCAAGTGCCTTAGCAGTGAAATCATCCACACAACAAGCACCATAAGTGACATCACCCATTATTATAGTATCAGCATCAGTGAATCTGCATAGTACATTAAGCAACATTACATTCATCCAGCTGCTAATGTTTGTATAGTTGTTTTAATTTAGAAAACATAACTCTTGCATAAAGCCAAGTTCACAAAAAAACAATTACTAAATTATAATACAAGTACCAGGGATATTCATGTTTTTCGTGTTAACTTTGTTTAAATCATAAACTTTTATGACAGTTGCAAACATTATATTAAAATAATAATAAATTAACTATGATTCTTTATTTTTATAAAAGAAATCAATTAATTCCTAAATACCTTTCTATAATATCAGCAATGACACAGGAAAACATCAACAAGCCTTCTGGGAACTGTAATGCAACTGAATAGAACAAAATGTGATATATTTTATTATATAAGAATTTGTAACAAATATAACAAGTATCTTATGAGCTTATGTTACCTTATAGTTGCATTGTGGTCTTAAGATAATTAGATTAAAACATTTTGTTTTTGATTCAGAGATGTTCAAAAAATGTCGTGAGACCTCTTTTGAACTGAAGCACATGATGACCAGAAAGAAAATCATATACTTTTTTGGCTTTATGTGAAATTAGTCATTGTCTGGATTTGTGAAAATTTTGTGAAATACGTATGCAACATCCAGTTTGCTAATGCTTAATTTAGAATAGTGTTGAGTATCTCTGTTCCAAATTACCGGGACTAGAAATAATTTAGAACATCCTAAACTGCTGCACTTTCCTAGCATTGAATTTCCAAGACTATGAATAATCTCAAAGTGCAACTTTTTATAGAAATAATTTTATTGAACAATTGAAAGATAATAATTGTTTGCTAAACTATGTCTAATCATGTCAATATAAATTAAAAACTGGAAAATATTGATTGTATCTCCTTACCACGCTTTGCACCAACAGTCTTCACCTTCCAAATAGTCTTACAAATCTCAAAGTTATAGTTTGAAGGCAGCTACACCAAGAAACACAAATATTAGTATAGGTTACACTCATAGGTTAATGTGATAGATGATGGATTTCCTTGGGAAAAGTCATGAACACAAAAGTTTATATTGCAAAATTTTAGAATTAGAATTTTAGAGAAAATGGATAAAAATTTCTATTGGACAGACCTTGATCAAATGTTTGCAAAATATAGAATATCTTAACTACCTTATCTGATTTGATGCAATAAGTATTTACGTAAAATTTGAAATATATCTAGAATCAGATATTTATTTCTGAAATTGATGTAAGCCATCAGATGTCTACAGCTTCTCAGTGAAATGTGACAGATTTAATTACAAGTAAATTACACTCCACAAAAAGCAAAACACATCCTGAACTACAGCACCAACAACATAGAACATGACCCTGTGTTTGTCATCATCATATTTAAACTACATTGTACCTACCTGTTTAATAGCATCTTGAAGGTCAACATTATTTACTATTTCATCTGGTATCTGGTTGGCTACTCTGACAGTCTTTTTTTCTGGAAAGAAATTAAAAACAGCACATTTTGAAACTGAGTACTGCTGCTGTTTTAAAAAGCCTTCATCCCTTGTTTGTTCTACACTAGATACCAGCCAATACCAACCCCCCCCCCCCCCACCATAAAAAAAATGCATAGAAACTGGGCGGACAGTTGATTATACATGTATATAGTTCCCCTGGGTTCAAACTGAAACTGAGATTTCTCTTGGCCGTTTGAATAACAATGGAACGTTTTCATATGACGTTGTTGCGCACTGTGCTCGTTGATTAGCTGATTGATAAAGGTACATAGAATGCCTTTGTTGCGCTGAGTGACTGCAGGCTCAAATGGGTCATTCCAGTTTGTATCCCCATATGGATGGTATAATTCTGGAGAATGTAAAATAATGTACTTTTTCTGTTCCAGGAGGATAGTCACTATAAATGAATTATACGGGGTGATGATTTTACTATGGGCTTCCGAAAGGCTGGGTTATTGCAGTTTGTATCCGCAACTTTTTTTCTATTCTGGGCCTCCCCTAGGGGTCACTGTATTAGATCAGAGGTACATTACTTGGGGTTTGCAACGCACATAGTACTGTATGGTGACATCATGTTAAGATCCCATTCAAGTCTCATCTCGTAGATAGCGAGACTGATGCTACTACCTTCTGACATGACATAGGCGGTTTGTAATAAAACAATAAAACATGTATTACCACATTCATAGTGAAAAAATGTAATACATCGAAAATGTACAGAAAATATAGTTATCGTAATCCGTCATATCGTGAGCAGCTATTTGACCACCTGGACATCCAAGTATCCTAGTTACCTCGGGCATGCGCATTCGCATTTTTCTGAGTTGGAACGCTTATGCGAGAGCGAGATTGTAACAGAATTTTGGTACCAAGTAATGTACCTCAGATTAGACTAGATGTTAAATCCGAGGGGTAAATTTCGAATGTTAAATCCGTGGGGTACATTTGGGGGAATGATAATCCAGGGGGGTATTGGCAAAAAAAATGTTTTCCGGAGTTCTGAAACACCGTTGTATATTTCCAGGGAAGTGTTATCAAAAACTAATCCGAGGAGTACATTTTTTACTATAACCATCCATGTAGGGGGTGTGGATACAAACTGGAATGACCCAATACGAATAGCAGACGATGATCCGTCCTTCGTCCGAAGAAAAAGGAAATATTATAAACAAATTCTAAGCTAGCACGAGAATATACCCTAACAAGTGTGAACTATCACATACCAGAAGACGATCCATTTTTCCTCGCCTTGCCTTTAGTTCCCACAAATCGTTTCTTTGGCACATTTTTAGCAGAAACAATGACAGGCTGCTGCTTGGCCGACATGTTTACGTCCGCCATTTTAGAATGACGTCATTATGACCATCATCACAGGTCAATGGCAGGGTACATGGACTTCTTCCAGTACTTTCTTGACAATACTATAAATCTCTGTATTTGCATATGTTTATCGTGACAACTTATGGTATGTGACACCATCATTATGATCATTTTGTTGGAGCGCCTACTGTATTGCTCCTGTCCGGTCATTGACCTATATAAAAATTACGCCACAAGCGTTGGCAAAGGAGAGGCAACATGGCGTCGTCCATTTGTCGAATGTGTCTTTCGAAGTTCGTGAATAATTGGCAATTTTCGTATGGAAAGGTGTTGCATAATTCTCGAACGATTAAAGTGAGGTATTTTTCAGGTAAGCATTTCAGAGATAATACAAATTTTGAATATACTTTCTCAAAGTATTTTGTGACGCATATTGAATCTGTTGATTTTTTGGAGGGGTGGGGGAGGTGCCGACATTAAACAAGATTGGAGATGAAAAGCATTACATGTACTTATTTCATTGTCGAAATATCATTATAAAAAAATGCAACAGAAATTTCTCTCGGGTTTCTTTATTTATAAACCACTTTTTAAAAATTTCAATATTGAAATTCTCTCCAGTTGTGACAAGTTTATCTTTTCCAATTTTCCTTGTTTTTTTGTTTGTTTTTGTTTTTTAGATCTGCTTTAGTCTTAGTAGTGATGTCTTTTGCTTTTTTGGACATTACCTTACATTTGTTTGTGTACGTTCCAAATACAATATCATATAATATGTTAGAATAAAAGTTAGATGACTCATTATAACCTGGCTGGAATATTAAATCCTTCATTTCATCTCCTAGTCATTTTTGTCTATGTTCATATATAATACTGTAAACTACTTTATTTTCGCTATTTTCGTAAATTAAAATCCTGCGACTATACTTATATTCCTAAATTTTGCATTCAACTTGTCAAAAATCAGTGAGAATAAATTCCATACAAAACACCCAAAAAGTCTTTTCAGTCAAAATTAGTTGCAGCTAATATTACAAAGCATTTTACAGCAAAGACATTTATTTTTTGACAACGCAGCAAAAGTAATTAAAAATTTCACTGCTTTGATGAAAAAAAACAAATTCTTTGCTTTCGTGGGTTCAGATATAACATTTCTTTATATCATCATTTTAGCAAACTACATAGAAAAATGTTATTGTATAAAACAGCAACCAAGTTCCAGACTGAACAGTCTATATAAAAATAAAAATTAATTTAAATAATCTTGTTAGTCCTGATTTCTATTACACCATTTTCTCTGGACATATTTATTAACCTTTATATCTTAGTTTTGCAGTTTTATTGTTCCTAGTCATGTTGTATTTAGCATGTCTTAGTTTTAGTTTTTTGGAAATCACACTGCTGTACCTTTCTGTGCCAGTGTTGTGTCAATAAAATATTATTATTATAGTAATTAGATTTAAAAAACATGGTTATTCATAAAATATTTATTCCGCTACATTCAACAAGAAGAAGGAGAAGAAGGAATTTTCATTGGTTGGAGAAGCCATTTAATATGTAACTATTCATTACCCATGAGTTCCTGCATCTTTTCCACTATCATATGCATGGCTGATTTAGACAAGACATACTCTTATTACCAGTCGTCTGTGGATGTGCTTAATTTATTTAAATGGCAGTTTAAAAATCTACTAATTACCACAATTGTGACTATGATGTCATTGGTACAAAGGAATGTTTTTTCAAAGTGACCTTAACTCGTGTTTGAATTTGAATCTATATTTACCGGTATAACAACAAGTTAATAACATCATGATGATAATAAAAACAAAAAACAAAAGGGTAAGCTACACACATATAGACTGTTAAAAAAGAATTGCCAGTAAGAAAATTCTCAACTGTAGCAAAACATAGAGCAGCATTAACAAAATTAAAAATTAGTGCCTATGATTATACCTTGCAGTTGTAGAAAATACACTTCTTGCGATCAAAATGAGCCCTAATACTTCAGAGAAAGTCTTGCAAAATCAATTTGTGTTTCAAGATGGCATCCCTCATGACTGGTTAGTTGCGAGGCCAATGTGTAGTACGTGCTTGAGCTTTCTATTGTCTGACACACCAAACATCCTGACTATCAGATATTGTCCATATTGTATTATAATATATTGACATTATGTTTCAGATTTCAAAGATCAATATGACTTAGTTGTGATTGGAGGAGGATCTGGTGGGCTTGCCTGTTCAAAGCAAGGTAATAAAATGAAAGATTTTACTGAAATCGTATTCTGTCTGAGATATTAATATGAATAAGTAATAATGTAGTATGTTAAAGTAATAATATCATTAAATTTAAGTGATTTATACATATTTTTGGTATATACACAAAATTATCATTGAGTGTCAATTATTGTATTTACTAGATGCAAAATAATAATGAAATAGTAACTTTTAATGCACTCTAAATAGGTGATTTACCACTGACTGTAAGATCTGGCACAATGCATGACATTTTTTTAAATAATTTGATTTTGAACTGATTCGATGATTGTCCTAACTATTAGTGTGTCATATAATGTGATTGGGTTGCCTGGGACAAATGTGCATTTATCAGTTTCAGCCATACCATCCTAAAACACATGCCAAAGCATTTTCATTATAGAATTTTGGGTGGATTTTGTGAGTCATGAAAATTATCCCTCTCACAACAACAGGTGTGACATCTTGAAAGATTCCTTTTATTGCTAGTTTTTTGTTGTTGATGTCCCTGGAAATACAGTGATACATGTGCCGGTGGTCTTATAAATCTCTTGTTCTAATTTAACTGTTCACCGGTGGTATTACTTTGTTTTTGTTTCAATAGCCGCCCTATTGGACAAGAAAGTACTTGTCATGGACTATGTTGATCCATCGCCTCAAGGTAAGTCAAACCATATATAGAATACTTTTCTACAGTGTCTGTTCAAACAGTCAAAATTACCACTGAAATTAATACACTACCGTAGTGCTAGCCTGAATAGCATGTGGGTGATTGTTATTGTGCCCTCACTGGCGGATACACTTGAATGCAATCTACCCATAACACAGTGCTGTAGTTTTCTGCTGTCACCTACATGAACTTGTCTGCAATGTTCAGATTGCAGAATCTGTTGATTAGAATGAAATAGGATCAGGGTTTTTCTAGAAAAAAACTGCAAGGTGGAGCACTGCAATTCAGTGGCACCGCAAAGTGGGGGAGATAGGGTTCTCCCTACCAGGGTGTGGAGTTTTTGGTAATTCTATGTTAAAATGGAGCATACTATGGCTTCCTTGGGGCCAAAATTACTATCAGACATGTCACAGTTGAAGACTAGCCACATGTAATCCCTGGTCAATCAGAATTTTATGGTTGCCAGAGGATCTGCTCCGCAGGCTAAGTGGGCGCATGGCCATGGCATGAGGGCCCTCTTCCGTTGTTTAAAAAATAACCTGAGGATTATACTCGTTTATTCTTCGATCATATTCAGTCCTGTTTTAATTCCCTATCGCCATGGGTTCCATTGATAACACTATACACTAACTGGTGGCGGAATTAAAAATTCAAATGAAGTTTAAGCAGAAACATTGTATCCAGTTCTTGTGTTTATTGTTTAGGCACTAAATGGGGTCTAGGTGGTACATGTGTTAACGTGGGATGTATACCAAAAAAGTTAATGCATCACGCATCATTAGTTGGAGACGCTGTCAATGATGCATCCAAGTATGGATGGAATGTCACAAGAGACAAGACTGTTGAATGGTAGGTAGCAACTACATATTTGTTTCTGCTGAGGTGCTAAAATCTTGAGTGATTATAATCATTATTGAGATAAGATCAGATAAGATAAGATACTAGTATAAAGGTTGATTGTTTTATGTGTTTATTCTTGTGCCTAGTAATTAATCAAAATAGATTAATTAAATAATAATTAATTAAATATTTTTCCAACAAAAAAATAAAACTAGAACAATTATTTAATCATATACAATAAAATCAAAATACAATAATTTATATTGGTGTATCATTATTTCAGATTGGCTACTTATTAAAACTTAGTACCCAGCCAACTAGCCAATCAGGGAGCACCTTACTTTATACCGGTAAATTGTTTAATTCAATTGTTTTTATAACAATGTCACTTCCATTGAATCAGAAGTGATGACCAATTCCTGTAAACTAAAATTTATTGTGACGAATAGATTTCAGACAGATGTTCGTTTGTTTGTGTTTACAGGTCTGTCTTGGTTGAGGCTGTACAGAACTATATCAAATCACTGAACTGGGGACATAGAGTACAACTCAAAGACAAGTAAGTCAGTGAAATTGTGAATTAGGAGGACATGATGGAGTTAAATGCCACTATACATCTTGTATTATTGATTTTTTCTCACCAAAATTTTAGTGCTTCTAGCACAATTTTATATAATTTTCTATTAGTTGATCCTTGATCAAAGTTTTTGATAAAATATGGAAAAAAAGTATGCTGGTTTGTTTTGTGAAGGATGACAAAAATTGTTGATTTTTGTTTTCAAAGAGTAAATGATTATTTTATTGAACTGCTCTATGATGAGCATTTTATGTTAATTTCCTCATTTGCATCTAAATACTGTCCAGTTAGGATTGTGTTTCTTCAAGCAAAGTGAAATGTCATACATTTCTGTGGACTAAACTTTTTAATGATTTTGAGGATCAAAACAATGCACACAGATGAACTCGTTCGGGGGAGCACATGTAATATACTTCCAAGTAAAATGTTAATTACCATATAGCAAAATCAAGAATGTCCAAATAAAACATTGACATTTATAGTATCGCTTTGTTCACTACATCTGTTATAAGAGTTCGATGTATAGACATGGAGCAAATTCTACATTACTTCTTTTTCAGGAATGTAGAATATTTAAATGCTAAAGGCTCATTTTTAGATGAGAATACGATACGTGCTGTGATGGCAAATGGAAAACAAGTAGGTCTGGGTTCAATAATATGAGGTTATCACCTGATATCACTTGGTCATTCGTAGAGTGACGTCATGAACTATTATTGTCAATGAACTGAATATGAATAAATAAAAATAATATTTATTCGCGTTTGAAACAGAAAATGCTTACAAGTTATTAACAAGAAAAATCACAATATCAACATAAGCAATAAATATAAAAATTAAATTTATACTTGAACAAAACTATTTGACTAAGCTGATAAATAATATGATATGCCCATGATGTCCAGCTGTATGGAAAGCAATATCAGATGACAAGCTCTGAGCAGCCCAAACACAGAGTAATCAAACTTAACTACACAAATAATCTACTAATTTGGAATATGTCTAAGCGCATTTGTGATTGTGATTGTCAACAGTTAAATATAAATGGCAGAATTTAAAAACTAGCCCTTCTATCGGTGTAGTTTCAAACTAAATTTTTAGTTTACATTATTATGAGCTAGTATCAATCAGTTGAGTAACTGTTATCTAGTCTGAAATTCTTGTGTGGCAATGTGTATACATTATGATGCAATTTTAAAAAATACTGCTATTTTATTTGACAGAAATCCATTACTGCTTCTAACATTGTCATAGCAACAGGAATGCGTCCAAGGTATCCAACTGATGTAAGTAATCAAAGCATACATTTTTCAATGTATTTAGTACTCCTAATGTGACCCTATAGATAAATGGTGCAATAAAAGTTTGAAACTGCAAGGTTTATTTCTTTAATATACTGTTACTTTATTTGCTAATGGATGCCAAGATGTCGTTCAGATCAAGAGAGCCACAAAACTTGTTTTTGTCCTCTCTTTAATCTTTTCACCACCAGTTCCCTCACAAAATTCACAAAATAGTATAGTTCATGAGTCTGCACTTTCTTTCAGAAGATCGGGACAAAAATAGCCACATTTTTTGAGTAAAACTGAAGACTAACTGAAATTTTGTCTGTCGGCTCCAAAATTAGGGTTCATTTCCAGAAATATTGAAGAATAAAAGAAAAATTTGGATGAGAAAGTCTGGTGGTGAAAAGGTTAATAGTGTTTCATTTTTTACAGTCATTGCATCCACTGTTCTACTGACTTATGTTGCCATGGTATTTGGAACAGTTTGGTGGCGACTGAGAATGAAACACTAGTATTTGGAGAGAATGCAAAACAAGCCGCATCTCTCTTTCTCTTCAGAGGATCTTGATGATCATTTGTATCTGTTGTGTGTGTATATTCACAAGGGTTTGTAGAAAATTCAAGTGAACTACAAAATATCCATTGAATTGTTATCTTAAATTTCAGGTACCAGGAGCATTGGAATATGCAATAAGTAGTGATGATATATTTACATTAAAAAAACCACCAGGAAAAACGTAAGTATTTGCAGTGATGAACTGTAGAGGGCAACATGTCAGATGAGGGTGCACATTGAATTTTCCCGAATCTTTAGTGTTCTTTGCCCGAGACAGATACGATACTTTTCTATTACACTATTACTCACAGGTAGTTCTCAAAACTAGGGCAATGTCCTTGACAACAGTTAGTTTGATTAGATTTCACCCAATTTCACCATAGTATTACAGGTATATAATTGTCATTACATGATACTGATGTGAACAATCTGTTTTCCTTAGAAAAAAAAATCCACAAACATTTTCAGCATTCTCACAAATACATACCAAGTAAAACCATTGTTTGATATTAGTTCAAGGCCTGAAATGTATACATTGTACCTGCAGAATAAACTTTATCATTCAATGATAATGGGTGACAGGGAGCCATTGAGTAGAGATTTGATTGGTTGAGAAATGCAATTTTTATATGAATTACAAAAGAATTAATTCTGTTGTATCTGGTGACACAATTGTGTATACTATATAGTTGGCTGTATGACTAGGACATTAACTAACAGGTCCTTTAGGTGGCATAACACTGCTGCAAAAATGTGTCCAAACTGGGATATATGTAATATTTTGCCAATATTTGAACTAATTATTATTCAATTTTTATTCAAACTCGATATGAACTCCACACATGATGCATCTTAGTTTGTTTTGTGGTTTGATACAAAATGGCCGACCGCTGGCTATGTTGGTTTTATTTTCATATTGCCTTAACTATTGGTATACATATGTATGCTCATGTTTCACATTTTTACACAGTCCCTCTCTAGACCTATATTTTTTGATGACCTCTGACTGACTGGTGGCCATTTTATTTCCAAAAGCAATGTTTGAACAAGTCATTAATCATTTCCCAGGCATGGCTTGGCCAATTTCGTTATAACTTGATAGAAGCATCACATATGATGGTTTTGCACTTGTTGCTCAAAATGTTCTTATTCTTATGTTGGCTTACTCCTAGGTTAGTTATTGGTGCTAGTTATGTGGCATTAGAATCTGCTGGTTTTCTCCATGGACTTGGCTTCCCTACATCAGTAATGGTTCGATCCATTCCTCTTCGAGGTTTTGACCAGGTAATAAGTTGATTCACAGTGTTAAATGAAAAAAAATGAATTGTTTGTTGGAATATATGCAATCTTCTTAAATTCAACATGGAAATTTAGGTGATTTGAAATACAAAATATTCTCATAAATATACATAATAGAAAAATGGTAACATGAAATTCCAATAAAATATGAAACTGGGGTCTGAAGCTATCTGTCATTTATATTTTATGTAGTGCAAGATAGTTGTAATTTTACTCAGACAAAAATATGTCTTTAATCATTAATTTTATGAATTGATTTGACCTTTGCAGCAAATGGCATCCTTTGTCACGGATCACATGGAAGCAATCGGTATACCATTTCTTTGGTCCTGTATTCCTGTTTGTTTAGAGAAAAATAGTAATGGAAAGATTGTAGTGACGTACAAAGACACAAAAACTGGTTTCACATTTACAGATACCTATGACACTGTCATGATGGCCATAGGTAAGTTACACTTTTTAATAAACTGATCAGTGAAATGTCATGTTGTATATGTGAGTAGTTCAGCTTCATTCGTCAAATAACTTTGATTTTTGCTTTGGTTTTTATCTCATTTGATTATGACTGTCTCATTTAAAACATCAGTTCACTTAGGGACGGTTTTGCATTATCACAGAAACTAAAAAAACCTATAGTAAATTTATTTCCTTTGAAGGGATTGGGTTTTAGCTTATTTAATTTGCTGAACTTCAATTTCATACTTACCAATAGAATGAAAGCATACTGAACAAAATATCCAACAACATGCACGAACATTAAAGAAAGCATACTGCACAAAAGTTTTAGTGAAATTTACATAAGTTACAAACAACATAGCAAAAGCTTACAGTGTTAAAATTTTGTTTGGGGCAATTGTGTTTTGCACGCTTCTGAGGCAATGCGGAACCGTTCTTTATCTGTGATAAGAATGGATCAGGCTATTAGTACAAGCTGTTGTTGTTGTGATACTGTAACAGTAATTAATTTAAAGCATAGACCATAAGGTCTATGATTTAAGTAAGTCGTCTGATATTTTTTGGATATTTCAGGACGAAGTCCATCAACATCTGGGCTTGGTTTAGAAAACACAGGAGTTGATTTGAATGATAAAGGTTACATCATAAGTACTCGAAATGAAAGGAGTACAGTGAAACACATCTATGCTGTCGGTGATGTGCTTGAGGTAAAATAATTACACAGATTCCAGATCGGTTAGTCATGATAACTATTCAGATTCCAGAGCTGTATTTACTATAAATAAGCAAAACAATTTATAGCCACAAAAAAAGTACTGATTAGTGTCTAATTTTAGATTTTTAATTAAAAAATAGGATTTGATCTAAATGAAGTACCGTAAAATCTATATTAGAAGAGAAGTCGCACCCATTCTTTTTGAATAATTGAGAACTAAAAATTCATAATTTCTCATGTGTATCTTCTCTAATAGAAGCCACACCGCCTCTGTTGCATTGTACCATTGTAATAAAAGCTGCAGTCTAATACAGATTTTACAGTACCACTCATTATGTTTCTATGTTCACAGGGTGGTATTGAACTTACCCCAGTTGCTATCAAAGCCGGCAGGTTACTGGCACGTAGACTGTTTGACAATAAATCAGACTACATGGACTATACCAAGGTAAGGCAAAACACATTTATAATAATAACTTTATTACACTACTAAAAACCTTAAAAGGGTTTTTGTATGGTAAAAAACATAAATACCGGTACAAAGAAATACAAAATAATCAAGAGATAAAATTAAAAGGCAAAATTACAAAAAAATGTTAGCAAAATAAAAGAAAAAATTAATTAATTACTTTCTGTGGTTTTAAAAATTGTGCTCTTCAAATATTTTGCTAAGGCTATGTTATTCTCCATAATCTTTTGAAATATGGAATTCACATCCATTGTGTATATATTTATAACACAGCATTCAAATTCTGTGCAGTGATTAGACAATACAGTGAGAATAAACAATTCATGTGAGAATAAACAATTTTGTGCTGCCTTTCATACAAGCAAACTATTTCTCTACTTTGGAGTTAATTAAGTAAGTCACCACCTCCCCATTAACATGTCCCTGCTGCATTGTGTCTTCAGGTGCCGACTACAGTATTCACACCACTGGAATACGGAGCTGTTGGTCTCTCTGAAGAAGCAGCAATCAGAAGATATGGCAATGATAATATTGAGGTAACCAGTAATTATGGTAATCTTGTTTTTGATAAATCTGCTATTCTAGTCTCAGTCTCAGTGATGATAGAATTAATAAACATATATTTTCAAATTTTACAGGTTTACCATGCATTTTACAAACCTCTAGAATACACAATACCAGAGAAATCTGCAGATCAGTGTTACATTAAAGTAAGAATAAAGTTTATTTCTCATAATATAAGGTTATTACGAAGATACCTCAAAGTATGCACGTAGACAGTACAGCGGCAGTATCGACCGAGGCGCAGCGGATGTCGATGCAACAGCGTACTGTCTGAGTGCATACTTTTAGGTGTCCTCATATAAACCTTATTATTATACATCTTTTACTTTCAAGGATACATCATGGAAATGCCGAAATCTAAAAAGTTTAGAACAGAATCGGTGAAATTCTTTGTATAGAGTCCGGTCAAACCCTGGCAGCTATGTTTGTTTTATTATTAGAGGACGCGTACGCGCACAATCATTCCATTTTGGGAATTCGCATTTCCTAATACGGTAGGCTGAAAATACCCAGTAAAATACTGCAGTGACATATGTATAATAATTATTTTTTGTTTTTTTAACAGTAAATGCATATGAAATATATATATCATAATGATAATATCTTGTCAACCACTCCAATGCAGTTGTACCAGTGGGCCCTTACCAAGGTTGCCCTAACCCACCATTAGTGAATGAATCGATTACACACTTACTGGGAGTACCATATTTGTTCTATTATTAGCACAAAAACAGAAGTGTGTCTATGGTCAAAATAAGTCGTATATCAATGATCCCATTAAAATAATGCAAGTGTATTTCTATTAGAAATATGATTCTAATAATGCAAATATGCTATGTGTCACTCTCTTTTTTGAGTCTAGAGGTCAATCGCATAAAGCCATAAGCTGTAAATCGATAAGAAAAACTAATAAGAATGAGTTCTAATACGAGTCTGCTTTAGGAGCATGTAGCCATATATGATAATAAAAAAAAATATTTTCATTACATTTCAACACCCTGTAAACCCTTGTAAGATTTAAACTTGACATTCATGAACATGACTCGGGAATTTCAATCATATTCCTGGGACATGACCAATGTAAAACATATGACACGTGCACATATACAACAATTTGTGAGGCTTTGACAGAAGCAAAAATTCAAATGAAAAAAATTGTACATTATCACACTTGCTATGTTCTTATACTAACTAATTTCCCTTTTTTGATGCATTGAGCAATATCATCGAGTTTTAAATTCAGAAATTTGCCAGGGAAACAATACATTCTATTGTTATTTTACATGTTCACATTTATTTAATTTAGTTGACTTTAGTTATCTGCAAAAATAACGAATTTAAAAACCAGTGAATATTTAGTATAATAATAGTAACTGAGAAACACTTATAATTGTAGGTTGTATGCAGGAGAGAAGAAAATGAAGAAGTGTTGGGTCTTCATTTCTTGGGTCCACATGCAGGTGAAGTTGTACAAGGATTTGCTGCAGCAATGAGGTATGGCAAGAAAATTTTTAGGTCACTGATGATGTCATTGATGACACAATGACGCTAGAATATCAAAAAGTCAAGAATACTACAGTAAAATACTTTATTTTCACTCGGAGTTTATTTTCGCTAGCTGAAGGGATAATTCAGTGAAAATAAATTCAAGCGGATATACATTTTTTTCTATATTTTACATTTCTTCATCAAGAATCAGTGAAAATAATTTTTTTTCAAAACACCCGAATCCAAATAGAATCCTTAATGCTACAATATAATTATAAAAAAACTAAATCGATTTTCGCTGCATTTAATAATGATAAATTTACCAAAGTGCGGTAGAATCTGCCATTTTATTTGAGTGTGTTTGTTTGTTTGTGACCTGTGTCTGACCATCAAAGTCAAAAGGCATGCTATACTAAGGCAGAGGTTATGATTGGTTGACTAAACCAGTCAGATGGGTTCTTGTTAAAAGCTAATTGTATATTCGTAGGTTAAAATGTATGTGGAGATAGTTAAAGTAATACAAAATAAGATATATAAAGTAAAAATAAAATAAAATATATAAAATTAAATTCACTTGTACAATACATCTTACTCAATCTTCTCTGCAGGTGTGGTCTAACCAGGAGTTTGCTGGAGTCGACTGTTGGAATTCATCCAACCAGTGCAGAAGAAATAGTCAGAATACACATCACAAAGAGGTCAGGGATAGACCCAACTGTGACAGGTTGCTGAGGCTAATTAATCATCCCTGCCATATAATAGATGCCCCCATTGTTCTACAGGAGTTGTATCCACAACTGGGTGATTCCATTTACTTGAACAGGGGTGGCATGGCTGGGATGATCTTATTCGGTAACAGTAGACTTTCCCACTAATCCATTAGGTGGTATGTGAGTGTGTACATAAAAAAAGACATTTTAATTTTATTGATAATATTGTATTAAGTTAAATCAAGGATTTTTGGGAAAGCTACTCGTTCATATTATAAATTCGTAATTTATATTGGATATTGTCATTCATGATGATCTGTCTGTAAGCCCAAAGTTGGGTTGGACAGGTTTGATATCACGACAATATTGCCTTTATATGTTATAGTGCCCTCCTCAGGTGAAACTGTAACCAAGCAATAACAGCAGATGTGAAGATTAGGGAAGTGGTGAGCAACCTCCCAAAACAATTGTACATGATAAGCAAAATTTTGGTTACTACTTCTCACATGGAACCATTGTCTTAGCAATTGGACAATGTTGTAAGCCATCTTTGAAATATACTTGTATTGGACATTGTGTACGTTATTATTTCCAAATAAGTACATTTGTACAATATGTACATTTGTAAAAATGTTTAGTGACTGTATGAGATGTTGTTACAACTATACAAATAATTTCATGTTTCATGTTTGAATTATGTTTTTTTTTTGGTTTTGTTGAGCAACATTTTGACTAAATAGTTGACTGTGAGGTTTGTTCTATCAACAAACATTTGTTCAGTTCAAAAACACCTTTGTTGAAGACCTTCTTTACCAGTGAAGATCAAGTTATTCGAAAAACTGGTATGTTCACATCAAGTTTGAAAAACGCATGCTTTAAATAATTTAAAAACATGCCTCCAGTATATCAAATGTTGTAGAAGACGTATCAACTGATGTTGTGTAGACTGTCGACAATTCTCGGGCCTAATAAAGAGTCAGTTAATCGCAAACAAAATGCCAAAAGCATTTTTCAAGTGTTGATCAGTGTATGACGTAGTTTGAGTGACAAGTCTCAGCAGGAACGTCACCGGGCAATTTCCACGTAATGCCCCATGAGGGCGTTTTCATGCTATAACAGTCCTTACGGCCCTCGCTTGAAATACCTTCGCCACGTCTAAGGCGTTTGAAAATAAGTGGCTCTTTATTAGGCCCCGAGAACTGTGCACTTCTGTATTGGTACTTGTGCATTGCCTGCCAATATGTTCCACCAGGGGCAGGATTGTGGGATGAATAGGGAATTTTACATTTTTTTCCTGAAATCTCAAATTCCCCATGCGAGGGACATGACAAGATGCCAATAGCGCAAGAATAGAGCCTATTAGGAATGATGGTGCAGCAGTGAACAGCAAATTTTCACATATATGGAAAATATAGGTGTATTATTCATTAAAATTAAGTACGTTTTTTTTCAATTTCATGCTACATGATTGGCAAAATTAATATCATTTTTTTATTAACCAGTAAAATCTCAGTTGCCATTTGCTTGTTTTTGTAGAAAATAATGTATTCTGACATATTGTAAATAGTTTGTAAACATCTACGGTACAAGTATAGAATCCGCTCTTGATTTAAAAAAAGCATCCGCATGTCTGTAAAAATTTTCATTTAGACAAATTATTAAATATCTGTATATTGTCTGTCATTTATATTTGTTATGGATTATAAATACGTAGACTGCACAGAATTCTGTATCATCAATAATTGGCTGTCTCTATGGCTTCAGTACATTTCCATGGAAACTCGTGTGCGAACTAACCCATATGTAAGGCCCTCCCACAGCCCTTCAGACCAAATCACTAGTCTATTATTTGTAGATGTCAAAGTCTCATAATAGACAACATCTAGTTTACAAATGGATACAAATCTTTGAGAACTATTCACTCCCTAGCTGTGTTGATATACCGGTACCTCTATGTATGGGACAAAAGAAATGATCTATTGTCCACGCCTCCATGATTCACTCAGACACGTATGCACTTTCCAGTTTGTCTTCAGAGTACTGTAAATTCATTAATTATTCACTGGATTTCAATTTATCTTTTTTCCCCTGTTAAATCAACATATGAAGTTAAAATAAAACTCATTGTTTCCCTGGAAAATCTGAATTTGAAACCCAGTGAGTATGCTCAAGGTGGTATGTGAAAGCTTTGATGGTCATTGTTTTTGCCAGTCAGCATGAAAATGTTAGATAAAATGATGCTTACAGCAGTACCACACAATCTGCTGTGATGTTTTCTACAAGGTTTTTTTTATTAATGGGGAAACACAAATAAATTTAATATGAAACAACCACCAATGCAGTTTTATTTTGGGATGTGAATGACCAGTTTTTGTCAACCAGTTCACTGCACATGCATGTACATTTCCTGAAATTAAAACTATATAAAGCTATGAATGCTCTTAAAAGTGCAGTTTTAATAGCAATATCACGCAATTAAGTGGCAATACAATTAATTCCCTATATAGGGGTGGCCATTTAATACATTTCCCTGCTCATCTGTGCCAGGGGTGGTATGGATACACAGCAGTCGTTCAGATGTCACAAGGGCCACAGGCATTGTTCACGAGTGTATTTGACTTGTATAACAGTCCCTGAATCATACTAGCTAATCATGTTCAACTGATTGTGTTGATATAAATGTGTATGCATTTCAAGCTTTCTTCACACATATTAAAAGATATCACAGGTGGACTAAATTAGACTGCATGATCAATTAAATACATTTTGAATGCTGACTACCAAAATGGAATTCCCGGTAGATAGAACTACAAGTTGCTTATGTTTGAACTCAAGCAGGGGCACTAAGTCTAGTACTATAGGTATAACTTCAAAATTTTGGATTTTCTATAAAGTGTATGAAGATCTTATAAATGCCCCAAACGAACAAAGAGTTGGTCATGTGCAGTGTTGTAAAATGCATTAGAGTATTTCTAACTTCGCCTCCTGAACCAGCAAACTATTTTTTGCAGCTTGTCACAAGAACATTTTTTTGCAAAAATGTGATTTTGTTTAATGTAGACCATTACTTTTTGGGCTGTTAGCAAGGCACATTTCAATTAAAGAACTGAAGATATCATTAGAAAATGAACAATATGTATAAGTATGTATAGCAATTTGACTTGTTTTCAACAATAATTCAAAAATATCACTTTTTACCAAAAATGACATAAATATTCATCAAAATTAGATAATTGAAGATATCACAAAATGAACAAATCTGAGAAAGGTCCACATGTAGTACCTATATATGCAATATCAAAGCAATTGGACTTTTGGTTTTTAACAAGAAGTCGAAAATATAACTTTTTACCAAAAATGACAAAAATATTCACCAAAATCAGAGAATTGAAGATATCATCACGAAAATGAACAAATCTGAGAAAGGTCCACATGTAGCATCTATATATGCAATATCAAAGCAATTGGACTTGCGGTTTTTAACAAGAAGTCGAAAATATCACTATTCACCAAATTAGAGAATTGAAGATATCATCATGAAATGAACAAATCTGAGAGGTCTACCCCAGGTACATACACACCAAGTATCAAAGCATTCAGGCTTGTATTTTTCAAGAAGTCGAAATAGTAAAACATTGACACGGACGACGATGACAGGCGACGGACAATCACTCATATGATAAGCTCCGCTTGACAAAGTCGACAGCAGAGCTTACAATAGAACTAATTTCCCTGCAAAGTTTGTGAACCTAAAGACCAAAATAGCTCAGTGAAAACAAGTCATTAAAAATGACACAGTCCCTGTTAAATTTTTTAAAGTTCTCTTTGTGCTCGTCATATTAAAGCGGAGTGGGTTGTCGTGAGCATGTCCTTGAAACTTGAGTCCCAAGTGGCATATACGATTGTTTATTTACATCAAAACATGTGTTCCGTGTAGTTAGTAATATGGCCAAAAATAAAAACGGCTGTTATTCGACCATCTTTGATCCGATTATGAATGTATGATGTGCCAAATACAAATGAAAATAGTACATAAATTGTGGAAATATAGTAGCAAGGCCAAAAAGTCAGATAGCTGTCAATCTG